GATATCCATTAACCAGTGTTCAGGTAAGCAAAGTCAGAGGCAGGTATCAGTTCAGAAATAGCATAACACAGAAAGGTTTAACCCCTTAAGGACACAGAAAGGTTTAACCCCTTATTCCAGAGGTTTGGTCCTTAAGGGGTTAACAAAAAAATAACCTAATACCAAGGCCCAGTGCAAACAGAGGGTCACCTTTAAAAAAGGGGCCTGGCAAAGGACTGGTTCTGCCTCTAAGAAACGGATCAGCTGAAACTCCCTCTTGTGATTCCTAGAGGGGCTTTAAATAATTAAGGCAACCCAAGCAAGTAAGTTGATGTGCAGTGTGCTTAAAAACATTGCTGGAAACCTTATACTAGAGCTAGTAGAAAGTGGGACACGTATGTTCAAGTCCTGGGAAATGTCTCTTCAATTTTGTTAATCTATTTTAGGTCAGGTTTCTGACACACGCATTCTGTGCAACACATTTGTCATTTACTGTTGTGTAATATCCAATTTATATATGTTAAAAAATGTATATAGTTTTGCTGACTGTATCAACATATCCCTGTTCTGACTGAGCTCCACAACTACTGTCCATCTCCTGTGATTATGATTCTAAGTATTGTCAACACATGACTTAGTGAATGAAGATTGTCCCAAACCCTGTGTAAGAATGGTCTATCATCTGGAAAGTGTGACTGGTCCTCGGCTAGGCTTCAAAGTAAAAACAATGGAGATAAAATGTTTCTGCTGGTTGCCATGGTGATTTATTGTACAGTGAGAACCTTTACACGAATTCTAAAAATATAAACTAAAAGCAAACACAATAGCCAATGAAAAATGATGTCAAAACCATGAGATTCTTATATGAATATCTAAACACCAATTGTATGCATGGCAGTCCTGATGGTTTGGGGACAATAATAAATGTTACCATACCACTTCTTTAATCATAGATGCTAATAAAATATGCAGTTTTCCACATTAACACATTGCCATCGAAACAGCAAGTTGTACCAACTACATTTGTCAGAGGAAAACAATCTAAGGACCATAACCACATACATCAGTCTGAGAATAGCTCTGTGAGCCATTAGCAAAGACTAATACCTTCACAATCATTAAAAACCTTTTAGGAGTGAAATTACCAAGGCAGTGAGTTACATAGTTACATAGCTGAAAAGAGACTTCAAGTTCAGCCTTCCTCGAATATGATTTTGCTGTTGATCCAAAAGAAGGCAACAAACCCAATTTTGCAACAAACTAGGAAATTCCTTCTTGACCCCCAAAATGGCAGTTAGATGTCTCCTTTTACCCCCCTAATTAGAAATTATATCCCTATATGTTATTTTTAAAAAGTATTGATCCAATTGCTGTTTAAACATCTGTATGGACTCTGATAAAACCACCTCTTCAGGCAGAGAATTCCATATCCTTATTGCTCTTACTGTAAAAAACCCTTTTCTTTGCCTTAGATTAAATCTCCTTTCCTTCAGCTTTAATGCATGGCTTAGTGTCCTCTATATAGCCCTGTTTATGAATAGATTTCCAGATAATGGTTTGTACTGGCCCTGAATATATTTGTATAATGTTCTCATATTCCCTCTGAGGCGCTGTTTTTCCAAACTAAAGAGATTTTAAAATTTTAACCTAACTATAATGCACCATTTCTTTTATTGATTTTAAAATGGCTTGTGGTGGCAACTGAATAGAAAAAGGAAAAAAAATTATCAAAATGTATTTTGTTTTGAAATCTGTTGGATTTTTAAACTGCTGCCATTTTAATGGTCCATGATTATAAGGCAATGTTTTGCATTCACTAATTACAGAAGCAGGATTTTTTCTTCTTCTTCTGTGCAATAACATGTTATCAAACATGTAAAAAAAAAATCTTATAAATCCAAATTGCCTAATAGTAATTGTTTTGTGAAACTAGTTTTTTCTCTTTAACTCGTTAATTCAACACCTTTACATTAATTTGACAAGCCAGCACCAATGATTTCTCTATCACACGCGTTCTTTTCCCTTGATATTCCATGTTAAGTGGAGTTTTGGCAATTCCTGTTCTACAGCCTACTGACGTCAGCTGTAGCTTTCGGTGTGGCTTACACTACAGAGCAAACTAAAATTCAAGTTTGTCTTGCAAAACATGCTCTTGTGACTCGTTTGTACTGTCATCTTCTATTGAACATTGTTCTGTCTCTAAATGAATCTGATAAAAATAAATAAAAAAGTTGGAAGACATTACATATTTTTCCACATTGTTTAAATACCAGAATCTTGTAAAATCTTTTTTTCAAATACTAAAAATGTGGAAATTTTATCGTTAACTGTATACAAACCTTTTTTTCTATAAAATCTTAAGAACCAAAACCAAATGAACAAATTATGAGAAAGAAAACTGCTTACATCCTATAGTAAAAGTAAGCAATATCCATTTTGCATGCTATTTGAAATGCTTGAGGGTTTTGTTTGTTTTACATACTCAGCCTATAATTTACATCTTGTAGAAAATGCCTTGAGTAGTTTACTAGTGATTTACATGCCAGAAGCCATTTAATTATGTCTGCTAGAGATTCATTCTTACTTGTAAAGAATGGAGGACTCAAATTGCAATAGTGTGACTCGCAGGAAAAAAAAAATAGGGGGAAGCAATGAAGCTGAGCAGGGGACTGGTAGACAGAGTCTGCTGTCTGCAAACATTTTTTTTTTTTTTTTTAAAGGAATGCTGGATGGCTAGGGATGATAAGTGTTGAAGGTTGCCTGGGATTAATGAGCATGTATGGATAACTAGGGCTAATAGATAAGGAAGATAATAGTAAGGTTTACACTTTAACAGAATCAGTTATTGCAATGAAGAACAAACTGTTTCTTCTAGTCTGTTTTCAATACCATCAGTTTACTAGATGACTGGTTTGTATGGTTTTACTTGTAGTTTGGATTGTACTTTATTTAACCCCTTAAGGACACATGACATGTGTGACATGTCATGATTCCCTTTTATTCCAGAAGTTTGGTCTTTAAGGGGTTAAAGCGTCTTCGCATTTGCTTTGTCGTTGTTCAATCTACAATAGGATGCAGAGCTCTGTGCAGCAGCAAGGGGCCCTTGTCCAGCTGAAAACATTAACACCATCATCAAGTTAAAGCCATATTCAACATTATATATATTAACATTAATTGTTAAAGCATAAGGAGTTAGTGATGCTCATCATATTTTAAGTTGGAACTCCACACAATGCAACATGTTACATAGTTAAAGCACAACTATAGCATTCAGAATACAAACTTATTTATTAGATCCCACCCCCCATGAGGGTTTGAAACGTATTACTTACTTTTCAGCCCTCACTGTGCTGGTCTTCACTATTACAGCCCAGCTCTTTGGTTGAGATCATCAGTGTAGATCACAGGTTCCCAACCCAGTCCCCTCCCCAGTACAGGATTTAGGGACTACCTGTTGTGTCTAAAGTGTTTTTTTTTTCTTCTTCTTCTAAAAACCTCTCAGACACAACTAGGTAATCCCTACATCCTGGACTGTTAGGGGCTTCCTGAGGACTGGTTGGGAACCATTGGTGTAGATGATCACAGCCAATACATTGGGAGGCCTACGGAAACATTGGGAGGCTTGTGCACATGTGCTGCAAAACTTTGCACCAAAGGGTCGCTGACGCCATCTGATTGAATAGCTCAGTTCAGGAAAACAACCACTATGTCTGTTAACTCTGCAATGTAAACATTGCACTTACTCCAGAATAGCAACGTTTGCAGGGTTAAACAAAGAGAAATGGTGCCAGATCACTTCATTGAGATTAAGTGACCCGGAAGGATCTCACATGGAGACTAGACACCTGACTGGGAGCAACCGACAACTGGAACTCCTAACCAGATTACTGTGATCCGGTAAAACTTATTTGAGGTCACAGGATCACCAAACAGGGCGCCATTTGGTGTGATGTCAGAGGATGTGGTGAGGTATTGAATGGTACCAAGGACTTGCAAGAGCTGCATGTGCCAATGGAAAGCTTCATCGTTAACAAATGACCGGGACCTCCCACCCAGCGCTATTTACTGTATATACTCGAGTATAAGTCGAGTTTTTCAGCACATTTTTTGTGCTGAAAAATCCCCACTCGACTTAATGTCTGTATTATGGCAACTTACATTGCCATAATACAGACCAGGACCGCTGGGCTCATTACAAGCCCGGCGGTCCTGTTGGGGGCTGGCATCGAGCTGTAACTTACCTTTTCTGCAGCTCCTGTCAGCTCCCTTCTCTCTCCTCCGGTCCGTCAGCTCCACTGTAAATCTCGCAAGAGCCGCAGGGAACACTCCGCGTGGCTGCAAGACTTAGAGTGGAGGAGAAGGGAGCTGACCAGACGAGAGAGAAGGGAGCTGACAGGGGCTGCAGGAAAGGTAAGATACAGCTCGCTGCTAGCCCCCCTCCTACACAGTGCACACCACTGGACCACCAGGGAATGAGAGCCTCCCTCCCTGGCCAGCTAACAAGCAGTGAGGAGGGGACGAAAAAAAAATATAAATAAAAAATGTAATATTAAAATTAAAAAAGGCCCACCCCCCCACCAAGGCTCTGCATCACTCACACACACACACACACTGTAAATAAATATTCAATTAATATAATGTTTGGGGGATATAATTTTATTTAGAAATTCACCAGTAGCTGCTGCATTTCCCACCCTAGTCTTATACTCGAGTCAATAAGTTTTCCCAGTTTTTTAGGGTAAAATAAGGGGGATCGACTTATACTCGAGTATATACGGTAACCCTGCGTCCGATCGTAGTTCATAGATTCTGGGCCAGCTGACAAGCTCACCTGTCAGCCACTTACTGTGCCACCACCACTTGAGAAAGGATATCCTCCTTTAGGTATAGAAAGATAACTGGGGTTCCCTGCTTAACTAATGCGAGGCTGGAGGCAATTGCTCAGCTGCAGTATTTCAATGCATTTCCCATGTGCAGTGCTCACTTTGAGTGCTGCACATAGGTCATCTGTCAGTCTGGGGCTACAAACTAGGCCATATGACTGGGGGTACCATTAGGATTTAACACTGCTGGTACCTTTACTGCTAGCAAAGCATCAGAGGAGATGTAGTCCACAACAGCTGGATATAAAACAAAGGCTGTTGGCAGGTGTAACCAGGTTCCTGCTTGAAAATCATTAAAAGTGACTGGGACCTCCCACCCAGCGCTATTTAACTCTGCGTCCGATCGGAGTACATAGATTCTAGTCGTCCCCCCCCCCCGACCATTAAAATTATTTTTAAAAATGGAGGGTTACTTACATTAATCAAACAGCAAGACTCCCTATGCACTGCTTGCCTCCTTACCTCACTCAATGTCATTAATGGGGCAACACTGGTCCAATCTAATGTTCCTCATACAGGCGCATAAGTGGCAAACGCTATGCACTTCCAACACTTCTCATAATTAAACATGGCATTTTAGCAGAGGTATCTCTAGTGGCTGTCAGCTACTAGAGGCTTGTTTAACCCTTCAAGGTAAGGCAATGTTTTAACTTGAGGGATTAAACCTACATGACCACTGTAGAGCGAATGGGGTGGTAAAGGGTGTTTTTTTTTGGCTAGAGCGACAAAAAGGCAGATGGTGGTTTTAACACTATAGTGTCAGAAATACATGTTTTTTTTTCCCTGACCCTATAGTTTTCCTTTAAGCTTTAGCTAATGATTGGGGATGGCATATAAATCACATTAAGAGCTAATCGCGAAGGGGGAAAGATGGGCTGAGACATACAAGGTACCGGTGGATAGGACACCACAGTGCCTTTTAGTGTGTTTAATCGCTGCCCACTATACAGGAAATGGCAACATGAGCAAAGTATGAAGAGAGCAAGATGACAAGCACAATGAATTAGCAGAATAAAGTAAGCAACAAAACAATGCAGTGATTCCAAATGAATGGCATTGGAAATATAATAGAGTGTTCATTTTTGCAACTAGGATCTATAAGGTATTAAAAAAGGTAAAGGGTTTTTTGGAGTTAAAAATAAATAAAACGACCAGACTCGTAATAAAAGCTTTATTTATATCACTCCAATAGTTAAAAAAATAAAATAAAAAAAGGGTACATGCCATTGCTCAAATGAGCAAAGGAAAAATAAACAAATCACTGTTTAGTAGATCTACTACACTGAATACATATACTTTTAATGCATTATTCATTTGGGGTATATCTTAAAAGAGCTTGCAAAGGCTGCAGATCTTATGAATTGCAGCCTTAGCAAGCCCTCCCCTTGTTAACCCCCGGCAGACAGTGTTTCTTCACAGGGAAGAAACCAAAAGGCTTCTCATATAGAAGCCTCTGAGTTGGTGCCAACATGCACGTCTGGAGGAATGTCGGTGTGGGACAGACAAGGCAGGCATGCTGAAGTAGAGCCTGCCTGCCAAAAGGAGATTGGCTCTTTTGACAGCCAGGGAGGTGTTCTACAGTTAATTTATATATTTTTTTCCCCCCCTTAAAAATTAAGCTAGGTTCTCCTCACCCATAAAGCACATTAGCAAGCTAAAGTTTTTTTTGTGTTTTTTGGGGGTGTGCAATTGTACTTTAACCTTTTTTAGTACCAGGATCAGGTACATTTCTTTTAGTTGTGACAAGGTATTGGGTCCAGAAAGTTTGAAGTTCAGCAACTCTGACATCGGGAGAAATTTATAAGTCAAGAATATGTAAATACTCACATCTCAATTGGTTTTGTTTTTTGTTAAAGTTATGTTCTAATTAAAAAGGAAAGTTAATTTATTCCCATCTATCCCCCATTACACTAGAATATACAGCAAAATAAATTGCTTGGTAAAAATACTGCTGGTACCAGGGAGAGATGAGAATGTAAGATGTGACAAAGCCATCACTCTAACAGCATGAACCCAATCATTCTACAAGTAAAATATTACCGTATGACAGTCATATCAATTCTTAAGCAAGATCTGTCACTTAATGCCATTTTCATTATTGGAGGGAGATGGAAAAAAAAACACAAACAAAAAACAAACCACAAACACTGCAGCTGCGCATGATCACTCAGCCGTGGTATTTAAATGGCTTTAAAGGCTATGTTCAGCACCCACTTAAAAAGCTGCACAAAGCTCACCTGTCAGCCACTATTTGTGCCACCAGTTGAGAAAGGATATTTTCCTTTAGGTATAGAAAGATAACTAATGCTAGGCTGGAGGCAATTGCTCAGCTGCAGTATTTCAATGCACATAGGTCATCTGTCACTCTGGGGCTACAAACTGGGCCAGCTGACTAAGGTACCACTAGGATTAAACACTGCTGGTACCTTTACTGCTAGAAAAGCATCAGAGGAGATTTAGTCCACAACAGCTGGATATAAAACAAAGGCTGTTGGCAGGTGTAACCAGGTTCCTGCTTGAAAATTCAAGCACAAGTCAGTAAGTCCATGTGAACCGTAGCAGGATTCATAAATGTGACACAAAGCATCAAAACCTTAATGAAGCTGTTTTGGTCCGAGGACACTGTCCTTTTTACCGTGTGACACCACTAGACATTGCATTTCCAAAAAAGTCACATTTGTCTTTCAGAATGTTGGCAGATTCTGCACATGTATGACCCCAATGCTTCTCTATGATACATTGTATTGCAATGAGATAAATCAATATTGATGACAATGCAGGAGGGAACGTGAGAAGGAAGGAAAGAAAGGGGAACACAAAAAAAAAACAAAAAAAAACCAATCACCCCACAAAAAGTAAGGAATAGAAATAAAAGTACAATTTTTACAGTTAAAATGTTTATTTAACACTGGGACAGCTCTGTGGGACTTATGGCACCATAAACACTACAGTGGACATAATGCTTAGAGTGCTTAATCAAAGGGGCACTATAGTAACCAGAACAACTATAACAATGTATTTGTTATAGTGAGTATAGTCAGTCCTTGCAGGCTTTTTAATGTAAACACTGACTCTTCAAAGAAAAGCCGGTGTTTACATTACCATTGGATGTGTCTCTAATGCCCAGGGCTGCATTTGGCCATTTATACCATGTATGCAAATCTTTCAAAAATGTGGATCCTAAATTCAGATTGTCAAGTTATGATACGTGCCTCTTATTTTAGAAAGAGTTAAGCAGCAAGCCAGTTTCCCAGTACAGTTAAAGCTTTAAGGAATAATCTAAGTAACAGACATTTAGTTAATCTCAGCACTTGATATTTTTTGATCTCCTACACGTATTCTTCTCTACATTCAAATTGTCTGCAGCATAAGCCAGGTTACCCCTTTTCATGCCAACTTTTTCCCACCCCACAAAACCTTCCTTACCGCTTATTTAAATTAAATCAGTTTATACTGAGGGTATAACTCTGCCCACAGCCAATCACCACTACTTAGAGTATACCTACAATGTGATGCATGTATGGTGGCACTTTATATGGACCAAATTGTGATCGCCATATTTTAGCTTCTACAGTGCACCCACAAAGAAGGTATTGTTGGATGCAGTTTGCATCTGTAAGTGGTAGGGCAGTTAGTACATGCAGTCACCAGTTTCAGTAGCCCTGCTGAAAGGGGGTGTAAGCAAATTTATATTTTGTTTAATCTACACATTTGATAGCAAATAACCACAACATAAAACAATCTTCTTAAAATAGTCCTGGTTCTTTAAAGTGTTCATAGAGTCTAGGTCTGTACCATAGATGATAAAATCTTTAAGCAATTTCCCTGCCATAATGTCACGCTTCATCTACAACTGAAATAAGTACTTTCCATTCAAAAGTTAAGAAAAATCATGCAAATTCACAAGCAGTTCAGATGGCATATAAAACTTTAGTTTTATTTCATCTATGCTGGTTGTTAAAAGGTGCAGACGCCATTATAGGTTTAAAGTTACACAAATTGTAAAATTAAGCACATGGGATATATGAAAATGGGTATATTGTGGCAGAGGTAATAGAGAAAGCTCACAAAAAGACACACCCAGACATACAAACCAGCACAAAAAGTGCGCCTGTGTGGAAAATAACGAAGGAGGGTGTGGGGGGGGGGGGTGGAAATTATATATAAATAGTTAAATATAAAATAAAAAGGGGAAGAAAGAGCTAAAATTCTACACCTTCAACCATTTGCTCAGTGTGGCTTGAACAAGTTTGCAGTCAGAAAGTCTGCTTTTTTTAAAGTGCACACATGTAATATTTCACATTACAGAAATAGTAAAGCCATACAAATTTTGTAGATGTTGGTTATCACTCAATGAGAATGTTCTACCATTTTAGGTTAACAGAAATGGCAGATATGTTGATCATATATTATAATGTAGCAAGAGTGGACAGAGTTCTCAAGACATTCCTCAGTTATCAATGACTGATTTATCTCTACTTTACAGTGTACCTTTAATGGCACAAGTCAATTCTTAATATATAAAGAACATGTCACCTATCCCTGAGCCAGCTAAACTGCTGGCATATAGATGAAGGTTAGGTCTCATACATTTGACCCTAGTCTTTATTGCTCATACATTTGACTTAAGTCTTTATTGCTATGCTGAGGGAATAGCATTAGACTTGCATACAAAATGTCTCTTCTGGTATGAACAAATAACTTAATGTGCCCCAACTAATCAATCAATACAGGATTTTGCTGTAAAATCGTATTTATTGTCTAAGACTCCACATGTAAATCCTGGACAGATGATAGTTCATGCATTTGATTTGTGTGTCCCTACCAGCTGAAACTAATTTCTGCACAAGTCTTATAAAGACTACAAATATAGAGGGCAGGAACTGCTGCAACACCATCTCTGACTGTAAAGCTACATGCTAGGAAATTTGGAAAGCCTGCTGAATAGTTTGTGGCAAACCTTGTCATTTTAGGTGATGAGGAAGTGGTTTTCAGAGAAGTATGTATTTTAGTATATGCAAATGCTAGTAATTTCACTACCATTGTGCATATAGATAAAATGTATACCTACCCAAAACGTAAAAATTCCCCCCTAGGCATGACTCAGATGACATGTTCACTTAAAAAAATAAAAACCCAACAAGAACAGAGCCTAAAATTTCCTAACTAGTCATTGAACATTGTAAACATAACGTACAGTTTTCCACTCATCAACTATGCAATACTTCCAACTGCTACTATTGCATAGACTTGAGAAGTGGACATAGTTGTAACTAGGTTAGCCATCATTTATGCATTGGGAAAGAAGGAGAAAATAACAGTTTAGTTTTTTTTTTTTTAAAACAGCAACATTAAAAAAATAATCCATCAAATCTGTTCATGTGGAATCACAGCGTTAGTCCACTGCTATCAAGAGTTCTAAAAAAATGTTGGCAGACATTGGCATGATGCTTGGTTAGCAAAAATCAGTCCACTTTAATGAAGACGAATAAAATTCAAAAACTGCACTATTCATAACATAGCCACTTAAATAATCATCTTCTCCATAGAGAGCACAAATAAATTATGGACAACATGTGGATATGGTCACATTAATGCCCAGGTTTCCATTATCTGCAAAGAGATGTGCAATGGCAGTGTCAAAAACCAAACAGTCACTGTTCATGATTGCTGCCGCTACTCCATCATGAATAGATCTTGGAGTTGCTTCCCAAGCCAAACGTCTGCGGTTACCATTGAGTTCCAGTCTGTAAGCAAAATTCTCTGCCTGTTTTCGTGTGCCAATAAGAAGGACAATGGCAAAGAATTGTTGGTGTCCTTCATACTTTTCTTGCTTTTCAAGGACCAGCATGAAGTGGTGGCTGAAGCAGAACTGCATCATAACCCAATCAACAGCCCCTGGCAGATTAATGTCTGTTGCAAGAAAGACTATGTCTTCTCCTTGAAGGGTGGTGATGCTCTTGTGGGCATGTGTTAAGTGGGGCATAACCGCTTCCAATGAACCTTGCCATTTACAGGAAGCACCAGGACAAGGGCATGAATATGGACGATATTCACAGATATTCTCATGATTGGGCTTCTCTGTGTGAAGGAGGGATAGGGAGCAACCTGTAGACGAATACTAAAAGAAAGAGGAAAATAAATAAAATCAAACAATTAATCATATACAGTTTGAAAAGGATCTATATGTCCCCTACACCACCACCACCCCCAATTATGCATTAGCAATACTTCCTTATTTGGTTTGTATATTTTAGGTTGAAAATATAAAATTCAAGTTGAATTCTACCAATTGATACTACTTATTTGTGTGTCAGATTAAGATGTTTCCCCTCTACGGGATACTTTGCTTCAAATGTACAATTCAGACAATCCATGGTGTCATTAATAATACAATGCATTATAAAATGACTATTTACTATAAACATTTTCTACAGGAGTATTTTTATAGGAAACCATAACTCATAGATTAGTAATCCTTTATTTGGGGAAAGCATTTTCTACTAATTAAGTGGATGTGCAAGGGAAGTTAAAGATAACTACATCTTGAAATCAATGTTAACTAAAAAGTGTATTCCTATTACTAGTGCCCTTCGCCTTTTCTCCTTGGTGCAGTTTACCCATCTGCCTCGTGCAACATTACAGAGAAGGTATGGCCACCTCTGCAATGGTCCAAAGCAATGATCCTTATTTAAAAAAAAAAAAAAGGAGCATTAGAGACCCGATGCACATGTGTGACGAGCACCACACACACACACACACACATCCAAGCTATCCCATGCGAAAGAAGTTTGTGGCCCGTGCTAGACTTTTAGTTTGATATGCGTGCTGTAGAATGTCGTGTATCAGTTTTTATACCAGAATTGCCATCTCACAGCTCCAAGCAGGCTGACATTATCTGTAGAAAGTACATTATCTCTGTACTTTCAGTGTCACTGAAGGAATGAGTGGAATATCAGGGAACAGAGTCCCACCTGAGTGCAGAATGAAAAATAAATAAAAATTAAGTGGTTTACTCACCTGTGCCATCTTTTGGACACCCTGTGTTATATGCTTTAAAATGTAAAACACCTGTGCCTGGTGTACAAAGTAACATTTCTAGTAGCTCCATAGACTATCAAAAGGTGTAAAATTAATCATCCCCAGACAGGGATACCCCAAATCAGACATGTGTCCTGGGCCAGCTGTCATCTGACATTTACCACCACAAGAGATACCAGGCAGTGCCAGGAGAGGGGGGGCGGCACCCCACAGCCAGGCAGTGCCAGGAGAGGGGGGAGGGACCCCACAGCCAGGCAGTGCCAGGAGAGGGGGGGCGGCACCCCACAGCCAGGAGAGGGGGGGGGCGGCACCCCACAGCCAGGCAGTGCCAGGAGAGGGGGGGGCGGCACCCCACAGCCAGGCAGTGCCAGGAGAGGGGGGGGCGGCACCCCACAGCCAGGCAGTGCCAGGAGAGGGGGGGGCGGCACCCCACAGCCAGGCAGTGCCAGGAGAGGGGGGGAGCGGCACCCCACAGCCAGGCAGTGCCAGGAGAGGGGGGGGTGGCACCCCACAGCCAGGCAGTGCCAGGAGAGGGGGGGCGGCACCCCACAGCCAGGCAGTGCCAGGAGAGGGGTGGCACCCCACAGCCAGGCAGTGCCAGAAGAGGGGTGGCACCCCACAGCCAGGCAGTGCCAGAAGAGGGGTGGCACCCCACAGCCAGGCAGTGCCAGGAGAGGGGTGGCACCCCACAGCCAGGTAGTGCCAGGAGAGGGGGGGGGGCGGCACCCCACAGCCAGGCAGTGCCAGGAGAGAGCCAGCCCCAGGTAAGTAGTTCCATGTAGTTTGTGGTCCGGCTGTGTGGACACCTACCTTGCAGGGGAATAGTATGTTGGAGGCCACCTTCTCCATGGCCAGGTTGCGGATGCTGGGGGTGAGGGAGGCCCTGCAGGTGGTGCAGCAGCTCAGTTTCTGGCGGCATTGGTTGCAGATGAGGTGCCCGGCCTGGCACTGCAGGATGGGGGGCGACACATAGTCGAAGCACACCGAGCACTCGAACAGCGAGGTGAGCTCCAGGTGCTGTTGGGACACGGGGAGGGCAGCGGCGGCCGCCGTGGGAGCGGAGGGCCCGGGACACAGCGTGCTGGACAGCCCCGGGGACGGAGCGTGAGGGGGAGGGAGCGGCGGCGGCGGGGGCTGCTTCTGTTTACCGCAGGGCTTGCTGGCACACGGTCCGGCGGAAGACGGGCGGCTCATGGCGCTCCGAGTGAACCATCGAACTTCGGGCAGCGTGTTCGCGGCGGTGGGTGGAGGCGATGGGGTTAACTTCCGCGGGCCGTAACGGCGATAGCGCGCGTCAGCGAGACTCCGTCACCGGAAACACAGCGCCCGAACGGGGATCCCCGTGACCACGCCCCCTCTCGCACCATGGCTCGCGAACCCCGCCCCCCTTCTGGAACATTGCCTCACGTGATCCGTGACGTCACGGCACCGCCAGCTAGGGAACAGGGGGACATTTGGCATTCGGATGACGGACAGGGGCGGAGCCTCAGCTTTGAGCGGCCATGCGATTGGTGGAGACGAGCGCGCGTGACAGCTCTGTTTTGTTTTTAACCGTTAACCGTGTGAGTGCCGGAGAGAAAGAGGCTACCCAAACATCACGTGACCCTAGCTCACACGCTTCATTATTATTATTATTGTACCAAATGTGGGCGTGGCTGTTATTTCTATTGTTAGAGCTGTAGCCAGTTTCTGTATTAGGGATTTATTGTTATAAATAAAATGGTGTTTATTGTCCATCTTAAAAAGAAAGAATTTACACCTAACACACGGGTTACATTATATCACCACCGCTACAAGCTCCCTCACTGTCCTCCCATTATAGTCAGAATTCACCAGACACCAGTGTGATACCATGGATCAGGGCCGGGCTGGGAACATAATTCAGCCCGGGCATTTTTTTATCAGAGCGGCCCACTAAGAAGGGGGCGGGGCAGAGAGGGTGTGTTTTGGCATCACTAATGACAAGCACGCCCCATCACAAAGTGAGCATGTTGGTTCAATGCTCTTCCAGGGCAGACCATGCGTACACACACTCACACACACACTGCACAATACTCTTTTCTGGCATTTTTGTCTCCTTATATCCCATCTATGGAGCCACCAGAGACAAATTTTAAGCATGTTATTAAATTTGCTTGCGCTGTGCAGAACAGGGTCTTTTTCTCATGCTAGAGTTTTTTTTGTCATTTTGGTTCAATGCTCTTCCAGGGCAGACCAATGCGCAGAGCTCTGCTGAAGAGCTCTAGCATGAGAAAAAGATCCTGTATTTGTTCTGTACAGAGCAAGCAAATTTAATAACATGCTTAAAATTTGTCTCTGATGTTTCCATATATGGGATACCAGGAGACAAAAATGCCAGAAAAAAAAAGTATTGTGCAGTGTTTGTGTGTGAGGGGTGTAGTGTGTGTGCAAGAGGGGTATAGTGTTTGCTGTGTGTGAGTGATGGGTGCTATGAGTGTCAGGGGTGCAGTGTGTGCCGTGTTTGAGTGAGTGAGTGAGTGAGTGAGTGAGTGAGTGAGTGAGAGAGTGAGAGAGTGAGAGAGTGAGAGAGTGAGGATGCATGTGTGTGAGGATGCTGTGAGTGTCAGGGGTGCAGTGTGTGTGAGGATACTGTAAGTGATTATATCCTCCCTACCTTCTTACTGGTCCTAGTTGTGACGTCATGGAATGTAGCAGGGCCGGCGCTCGGATAGTGCCGGCCCTGCATAGACCGGCAGGTGAGATCCTGTGATCTCCCCTGCTGGCCTTGGCCACCGGCATTTGCCCGGTGTGCCCGATTGCCAGTCTGGGCCTGCCATGGATACCATCGGTAGTAAACAAACTCTCCTACATCTGTTAAGAGTTGGGATTTTGGAGGGACTCTAGTAGAAGTTATTCTAAATAAATGTAATGGACTCAATTTACTATAGATTTTGCCCAAAGCTTGCATATTTTTAAATCTACATTTTTAAAATGCATGACTGTCCTCTGAAAAATCAGGACAGTTGTTAAGTATACATCAATTTACATAGTGCCAATATATTCCACCACGCTGTACAATCTGAACACAAATAATGGCTTTTGAAAACTGTTTACCTCTGCACCGCATTTCTCATGTGGTATAGTAAAACATACCCTCACACAGAAATGTGCAGATCTTTTGCATAGGCTGTTTTGGAGTAAACAGCTTATCAATATTGTTCAAAATTTGTCATTAAATAATAATAAAAATATGATAATCTGCCAAGCCAGGTGACCTTACTGTTGGAAAGGATATAACCCCATAGTAGTAGAAATAATATGACCGACAAAAAACCAAAAACAAATCTAAAATAAAATCAACAGGGCTTCTGCCATCTCAAAGCCTTGGGTATGCATCTGCATTTATAATGGCAAATGCATTATTAAAGGTGCCTTATCACACACAGGCTGTGAATGCACCACAGGCTCCATAGCTGCTCCCACTCAAGTCAGAATGCTTTTCAGCTGCTCTGGGTATAGTGTTATTGCCAACTGCTTTTTGTCATTGCACATCTTGATGTGCTCTCATTATGCCAATTGGAGAATTGAGTAGTAAAATTGTAGGGGTATGATCTATACATCAAAACTACTTCATATAGTTTCATAGCCATACCCACCAATATCAGGATCCTGCTCCAGAGGTCCTCCCCCCCCCACCCCACAGGCACTGCCAAAATAGGGTGGTCTAATAAAGCATGTCTGCGCTACATTTTCTGAGCTGAGGACAGTTCCCTGGTGTCCTCAAATTAAAGACTCCAGAAAACAAAGTCAGGACAGAACCTATAAAATCAGGACTTCCCAGCCGACAGACATTTTGGGAGGTCTGCATAGTGTTCAACTATGGGCAAAAAAAAGGGTTATTCCCGAAAGGGACGCTCAGGAAGTCAAAATGAACACTGAGCAAATTCCAAAGTTTAGCGGAAGTACATAAATGGTTTTAAATTTGGGTATTGTGGCCTAAAATTATAATTTTCTTGGAATTAACAAAAAGCCACCCTAGTGAATAATCCTGCTGATCATCATTATTTTTGACACTTTTTTTTGGTAAAGGGTAAAAAAAAAAAAAAAAAAAAATTTTTTTAAGGGAAACTCCAGTGCCAGAAAAACAATCCTTTTTCCTGGCACTGCAGGTACCCTCTCCCTCCCACCTCCCATCCCAGGTAGCTTAAGGGGTGAAAGCCCCTTCAGGTCACTTACATGAGACCCCGCCGATGTCCCTCAGCATTGGTTTCGGGTTGGCGTCGCTCCTCCCAGTAATCACGTCAGCTGAGGAAACCTAATGTGCATGCGCGGCAGTGCTGCGCACGCGCATTAGGTATCCCCTATGGGGAATAGAGCGACACTGGAGGTCCTCACACCGCGTGAGGACGTCCAGCGACACTCTAGCAAAGAAAATCTTTGCCATGAATCAGTAAGTGCCCTCTAGTGGCGGTCTAGTAAACAGCCACAAGAGGTGGAGTTAACCCTGCAATGTAATGATTGCAGTTTATAAAAAAAAAAAACTAATAATTACAGTTGCAGGGTTAAGAGTAGTGGGAGTTGGTACCGAGAACACTCCAATGGGCAGAAGCGGTCTCGGTGCCTTGAGTGTCCCTTTAAGAAAAACAATATCCCACCCACAAAGTGTTAGTTGATTTCTATTACATTCTTGTTATAGAATAGTAAAAAGGGTCTAGGGGGGAGAAAGTTGTCACAGCAAACGCTTTATGCACTTTTAACATCTGAGGAGAACAGATTTCATCACGCTAAACCAGTATAAAAATGGCAATAAATCACATATAAAATACCCCTTAAATCAAATTGTGGTTATCCAGCGCAAACGTAAACAATTCCCTTCTCCCTACAAGACAACAGACCCAAATACGAATCCCTAGTATTCGCTAGAGACCATGCACAACACTAAAATGAAAACCTCCAGAAAAACAAACACAAATCAATAACACGTTTGTTCTTATAAGGTCACTTGCCTTTTTGCTCAGTTTTGACCTGTGCTTGTATCTTTTCAGAAATGCAACTCTGTTCCTAAAAACTGTTTCTGCAGGCATTGTCTAAAAAAATCACTTGAAGTCTCAGATTGTGTTTAACACACAGCCTGCCTGTGCCACACAATATCCTCCTTTCTCCAGCCTGTTGGCCTTATTTAATAGAGTTTAATTATAACACACCTGCAGGGAGAAACATCACTTCCTGCCTGTGTTCTCCATCAAGAAACCATGTTAACATTGCAAGGCATTTACCAACAGTCAGTCACTGCAAAAGTAATGCAAAATGACATTAGTGCATCATTAACCCCTTCAGGACAGAGTCAATAGTACACTGATCAAAACATAAACAAAAACTGGAATTTGCGCTATATGTCTGTTCAACCGTAATTTTATAACATGAAAGGAGGCTTCCTATTTTGCATTAACTCTCTTTACTAAACTCCACAGCAGTAAAGAAAACGTAAAGAGTAACAAATAAATCACTGAGCAGCATAGTATATAAGGGTCATGCTGCCTGTACACTCCCTCTTTCTTTACTGCTCCATCGCAGACAGGTCAGAATATTTGCTCCCCTGGAGCTTTTTACATTTATTGTCATTTCTTGTTTGTTCCATATATATATTTCAAACATATTTTCTCACTTTGTTTACATCCTTTTATTTCTATTTCCTATCTTCATCAGGGCTGTGGGACTAGGGGCTCTCTGTGGGTCTTTTCTGCCCCTATTTGCCCCTCTGTACCTCCTGGGACCCTCCCTTGGCTTCCCCTTGGTCCCCCCAGGTTCCCCCACTGCCCCCCTTCCCTGGAGTGCCCTCCTGGGCTCCCTCCTTGCGGCCGGTTTCATTCGCGGCCGTTTTCGCGCCGGCCCGCTTCCATCCGCGGCCGGCCTCAAAATTTAGTCCCCGGCTTGCGGCCTACCTCGCGGCCGCCATTTTGGATCGCGGACATCGCGAGATTCTCGCGGCCATCTTAGTTTTGCCTCGTGCATCTCATTAGGGACTCAGTGTGGCTGTGCTAGCTTGCTGGTACCTCTGAAACTGCTGTTTTCCTCACCTTTTGTGTCTGACACCATCTGTGACTATAGGATTACCTACTCAAGCACCCCATCTGCTGCTTTCAACCTGCTACTCAGTCTGTGCCTCATCTGCTTCTATCAAGCTATCCTGTGGCTGGGTCAGTCAGGTCAGTGCTGCTGCCTGTTTATTATTACTGTGACCTGCACTTAAGGGTCCCAACCCTGTGCAACCGGGGTGAGCCCCCACTATAAAGACGCTGCTTACTGGGAGACTAGCTGTTGCAGTTCTCTCTAACTGGGTGAGCCCCAGTTTATAAGGTCACTACTATACCCTGCTGGGGTTATTCTGGGCTTGCTCCCACAATACTTCCAAATCTG